TACAACCACGTAGCGTTACGTTAGGTGACCATGAAAAACACTTGATATCAGCAAGGAGATTTGCACGGGTGACAGCTGTCAGATGGCAAATTAAATTCCAAATAGAGGAGAGGATACTGATGAATTAATGGAGTAACAAGGTTGTCTTACTTTGGTTTACTTGAATTGTGTATTCGCTAAAGTAATTTGTCATTGACTAAAGTCGCCTTCTTCTAGCATACATTTCGTTCTAAACCTTTGAGGGTGAATTCCCTTCGGAAAAATGCAGTTTACTCGGATAGGGAGTAGAGGTTGTTGTTTTATCTGTTGATTTGTTTGAGTGTATTCAACTTGTCTTTAGTATCGCTTGATTCCACGGTAAGTCAAGTTGATAATCCTACAGGAAATATCACTGTGGAAATTTGAATGAAGCAACTTCCTTTACCTAACTGGGAAGCATTGTTTCAACTAAAGGCCGATGGAACTGATTAGGATATCAAAGCGAGGATTGGGAAATCAAGGCAAGCTTTGATTACTCTCAAGTCCGTGTGGAGATCAACACTCAGCACTCAGCATGAAAAATAAGATCCAGATTTTCAACTCCAATGTGAAATCAGTGCTAGTTTATGGATCAGAAATTTGGCGCGTCATAAAGAGCACTTTGAAAAAACTGCTGACTTTCATCAACAGCTATCTTCGCTCAGTATTCAAAATCAGATGGCCGGCCAGAAAAGATCAGCAACAGGGAGCGATATCTGGGAGCGAACCAACCAAGGATTGACTGTGCAACAAATAAGCAGGAAGAAATGGAAGTGGATTGTGGCCATACTCTGAGAAAACAAACCATAAGTGACATCACAAGATAGGCTCTCGAGTGGAACCTGAACAGGAAGTGGCAAGTTGGTCGTCAGTGTGAAGGTGAGATGGAGGAGGTGATGTGAAGCGGAGATGAAAGCATGTGGGGAGACGTGGAGCCAGGTGATGAAAACGATGATGTAGAACCAAACACAATGAAGACGTTCGGCTGAAGCCCTATGTTCATCTAGAAACTAAAGGAAATAATAATTAATAATGTCACCGTGGATAGCCTCGGCAAATGAGCAATGCAGTTGGGAAAGACAAGTGAATTAACTGTCAATGAATAATGACTTGGCACTGACTGTATCTTCTTCTAATTTGCAGCTATTTCATTAAGTTTCATTTGGAAATGTGGAAATAATTTTGGACTGCAACGAAAATACTGAAAATTCCATTCTGCACACAGAATCATTATTCTTAAGCAATCAAGTGATTACTACACAAAGTTTGATGTTGACAAATAATTAAATAAAAAAACAGAAACTACAATTACCTTCTCATAACTATAGATGAGAATTATTCACTCTCTTTATCCTAGTTAGATGAGAAGAGATGCATGCCGATGACCTGTCAACTATGCCTTTGATTAATTATACCGACATTATTAAACACACGATATTAGGTGGAGGTGGTTTCATTTCGGTAAGCGTTGGTTGTAGTGATTTCATTGCAAAATCTATTGATGTTGTGAATATTTTCTCTTGTATTAAAATGGTGGTCTCCACTTTTCTTTATCCATAAATGCAAACGCTTTTAATTAACTTTTTGTTAATTAGAGTTTACGAGGCTATGAATTCCAATCAATTCTTAGATAAGTTCTCACATCAAGTGAAGCATAGAGCGGAATCATACACACACTCCAAGATATCTACATATACCAGTGAAATTCTTTTTCATTTCTGGCTTCAAACCAAATCAGATTATTAACTATTAAAAAATGTATACGGATATTTATCACTTGTTGCAAGAAATCGTCAATTGAATCATCAATGATGAGTAATTGGCGTCACTCGATAGAAACATGACAGGCAGATTCAACAGCTAAATCCATCAAATTGCACTCTGTCGCCCATAACGCCTCTATAACTTACTCGATAGTAAGTAATACGTCAATCTTATATGTCTGTTAGATTGCACAATTCCAACTACTTTGCAATACAAAAGTTCTACAGACTAAGAGGAATTGCAATGCAGCATCATGACCAATGAGGCGTGTTAAGGTGGGTATAAGGAAGGATATTGATCAGTGACACTGGATTCTAATCTAATGTCTCTTCGCAAACGCCCTACCTCCATGTGAGATGAAATTCCTACGTTTAATCCTGAGTTTTCGCTTCTCTAAATGATGAAGATTTCGGCATACACGATAACAGATAACAGCACACTCCTACTTTTCTATCAGTCTGCATACAATCAACACACACACTTACAAACAACGAAGTGAAGAATTTGTAATTTTGAATGTTGTTGCATGTGGGAAGTCGAGATTTTTGAAGTAAGCAAAGCGGTAATATGCATACTAAACCTCGGTACACGGCATTGGTTTAACCAGAAGCGCTTTACGTGAACACCCCGTCAACAATTGTCATGTCATCTCAATTGACTCATCAGTCAAAATCATTTGTAAAGTGAACAGAAGTCCAACAATGTCAGTGTCTCTCTGACTTCTTTGTAGTGCAGAAGATCTCACCATATAAATTGAGAAACCGGAGGTATTTGTTCAGAAGGAACTAGTTCAACTCTTAGATCTAGTTCTGTATGGCTATGTAGTTCTCATTGTTCCATTCTCAGTTATAAAAACTGTCACTTCAGTTTGTTTCTATGCACAGCCATTCACATCTGTATTCGTTTAAGGACAACTATTTCACGTATTACGCAACTACTTTCCAACCCTGTGCAATTTTGCTTCTGATCTATGCTCACACCTTGACAAATTCAAGTCAAATTAAAATTATTATCGCTTTTAATGTGCCTTAGTTACCATGTTGGTTTGAATAATAACTGTATAGATGTGAACTCGTGTACTGAAGAGCGATTGTACAACTGCTTTTCTGTCTAATAACCCAATGGTATATCTTCCACGATTTGAAATCATTCTAGCCATTCTAGTGTATTAATATTTATTTATCCATTTAATCCTCAATCTGCGCAACAGACATCAAAACTGGATTCTCTGGGTTCAATGAAGATACAAATCAGCGAAGGGGAAACTCTTTAGAGAATTTCTCTCGAAAGCTGTACAGTTGTTTTGGGGATTCATATGTACAATGTCCATCGGACTATAAAGGTCGAAGTTTATATTGTCAGCTAGTGTGGAAAATAAGTGAAAGTGTATGAGAGATAACGGTTCATGTGAATAATCTTACGTAATCGACAGAGTTGACAACTAACCATTTATGCAATGAATAGTCAGGCTATGATCGAGTGGAAGAGTGAGTTTCGATTAGACGCATGAACAAGCATCAGCAATAACTGCCAGTCACCTGAAGTCTTTTCTCGCTTTCTAATTTCAACTACATTTATTTGTGATGGATGATCGAGTTGATACTCAACTCAAAGTGACTTGATTTTCTCCCTTGGTACAGTTGATCACTAAATTAATTAAAAGGTGATCATTCATTGTGAAATAAGTCAACATATTCGTGTCACAAATCGTTTTGCGACAGAACAAGTAGTTCAAAGGTGTTGACGATGTATTAGTTTAATTATTTCATCTACTGATATACTTGCTGACAGTTATTAATATAATAATAATAGTAAAACAACATAGAGCAAAAATAAAAATATAAGTAGAGAACGGATGAAGAACTTCATCTGGAAGGAAAACAGTCATGCTTAACAAGTTCACACAGTATTCGTTAACTATCATTGGTAAGGGAAGAAAGAAGAAATTGGAATACGTTCACCACTGATTACGATTCTTGGCCATGTACGATAACCTTTAGAGCCATCGCTTCATGCATCTCGCGGACCCCAACCAGGGAGTCTTGACACACCAACCGATGCTAATCTAGCATAAATATCCTTCATCCCATGACTCCACGTCATGGACTGATCACCTCTCCGCCTTTTCCATCCCGTCTTGGGGCTGGCTAACGGATAGAGACCTGTACGGAAGCCTCTGGGAGGACATTCGCAGCACATGTCCAAGCCACCGGAGCTGGTGTTTCCAGATGACGACACTCAATGAGTGGTGATCTCCAGCGTGTTCAAACACACGCCGCTGAACCTAAGAATTACTCACACGATGATGCCATCCATCGAACGCAGGCAATCCTGCGGAGACAGCGATGATCGAACATACAGAGTCGCCGCCTCACATCCTCAGCCTACTCGGATAGGTCAGGTTTCACAGGCGTAGAGCAAGACAGCCCGCCCGCACCGAAGCACTGTATACCCGACCTTTGACAGCCAGGCTAACGTCGCGATGGCACCAGAGGTGTCTGAGGTTGATGTATGCCACCCTAGCCTTCATTATACGGTTGGAAATCTCATCCGTCACTCCTCCGCTAGCACTCACACAACTACCCAAACTTATCAACAACTTCAAGCGGTTCACCCGCAAGAGTGAGTTCAGGTACAGGCTCCTGCCAATCTTGTAACAGTACTTTGCACTTAGACGGTGCAAAGTACATACCATACTTACAGACATTGATCGCCAACTGATTAAGTACGATTTTGGCAGCCTGCATGCTATCGCACAGTAAGATGACATCGTCTGCATACTCGAGGTTGAAAAGTTTATCTCCAGGTAGCAGATCTACATCACATTCATGCACACCCTTCATAGCTGACTCCAGAATGCCATCGATGGCAAAGTGAAAGAGAAATGCAGATATTGGGCAACCCTGTCTAACCCCAATGTTACTTGTTGACAGTGAATGAACATGCATCATCGGTGTGGTTTCATAAGAACAATTTACCTGGTTAATTAGACTATGTACCACTCCAATAGTAGTTTCGTTTGAGTAGTACTGTTGCATGCTCATAATTAGCCAATCGGATGGCTTCATTCTGACACGATGTGTATTCACACCCACATGGATGTATATGTACGTGTTATGTTTGTGTGTCTGTGTGATAATGCTTCCGAGACAAGAAAAGTATAAGAAGACATAGAGAAACACAGAGAAAATGTATCAAGTGTATTCACCTTCATCAAAATGCACAGACCTGTGTCGTTTGCATTACTATTCTTCATCATTCATGTTTTCAATAAAGGTAAGTTGAATGAAGCTTCAATTCAATTGTATTTGATAATGCATTTATTGTGTGGAAATAAGCCGTGAATAGCTTCCCTTTATAATCAACGTGCAAGTTTCAACGTCATTAAGATGCCTGATAACTCATCACACAGTGTAGTGATGTGTTGACTAATTGTTGATATAAAAATAAAAACTTGTGCACTGTGGTACAGTATAATTCCAATATGGTAAAATTTTTGTGATAAAGTCTCACAGTGTTTGTTATACAGTAATATTTACGATGGCCACATTCCGAGAACAATTTATTACTGCTCATTATCATATCAACGCCCTACTCACACCAATTTCTAACATCGTCTATATAATTCCATCATTTTTCATTGCTCGAATCGATTGGTATTAGTATTTTCCATATCTCTGGTATGAGTGATAAGTCATTCCTACTGCACGTGTTTGGTGTAGACTGGATGAACTAGGATTTAGTAATCAATCTCTCTCTCTCTCTCTCCACATACCTATATTACTTTTTAGAATTTCAACCCTATACCCACCATGCTATTGTGTGGTTGTGTGTCGGTGGCACAGTGGTTAGGACTCTCGCCGACCATGCACATGGTCCTGGGTTCGAGCCCACGCCGACGCACACCTGATATCTATGGTCGGCCTGCAAAATTTGGGCTACCGCTATCCATGCTGAAAATTCCATACTTGTACCAAAAATACGGTGTGGAATCAAGCTGTAATCAAAAATAAAAAATAAAATAATTGCATGCAGTGCAAATAAGTGATGAGCTTTTTTCTAAATTACTTATCTTCTCGGGGTAAACATTTTTTGCCTCAGCTAAATTCTTATATTCTGGCAGGCAATCTGACTACCTCCGACCTACTAGTTTGATCTATGTAGTTGACCTTACTCATAGTCATTGCAGGGTATTTTGTAAATTATGTTATTTTGTCCAATTCAGTCAGCTGGGTTAACATATTTAATATAATTAATTCTACTCCAAAAAATATGGTGGAGATATGTGAATTATACTTTCACGTGTTAAAGCAGATCTAGGACACATATAAACTCACTAGAAGAGAGAATAAAATCCACATTTTAATCAGAAAATGAACAAGGAGAATTAGCTATGCTGGACAGTAAAATAAAACGAATAGAAGAGAATAAATTGCAAAACCAATGCATTCTGCCCATAGATATTTAAACTTTAATTCGTCTTATCCGTTCGTTGTCTGTTATGGCAGACTTTGCTAAGTGTCCAACAGACCGTACAGGAGTACTAAGTGGTACAAAAAACCTAAATGATGAGATATAACAGAGAGAAGAAGTGTTGGTATCAAATAACTATCCTATAAAAATTCATTAGGAAAATCGTAAAACGGCAAAAGCAAAATAAAAATTATAGGGAAACTGGTAATGATAACATAAATAAGAAACAACATAAGGCATCTACATTAGTTTTACCGTATACGGAGGGGACATCTGTGACCCTATGTAGGATTCCCAATAAAGCAGGAATAGGGTGACATTCAAAGCTACAAACTCTCTCAGATAGGACAAGCTCTGTAGGCTAAAAGACACGGTAGACACAATTAAACAAAATAACATAATTTACAAAATACCCTACAATGACTGTGAGTTAGGTGAACTACATAGGTCAGTCAAACTAGTAGGTCGGGGGTAGTCAGATTGCCTCCCAGAATATAAGAATTTAGCTGAGGCAAAAAATGTTTACCCCGAGAAGATAAGTAATTTAGAAAAAAGCTCATCACTTATTTGCACTGCATGCAATTCACACACAACCACACAATAGCATGGTGGGTGGGAGAGGGTTGAAATTCCGAAAAGTAATATAAGTATGTGGAGAGCATGAGAGATTGATTACTAAATCCTAGTTCATCCAGCCTACACCAAACACTCATACCGGAGATATGGAAAATACTAATACCAATCGAGTCGAGCAATGAAAAATAATGGAATTATATAGACGATGTTAGAAATTGGTGTGAGTAGAGCGTTGATATGATTATGAGCTGTAATAAATTGTTCTCGGAATGTGGCCATCAGTAAATATTACTGTATAACACGCTGTGAGATTTTATCAAAATAAATTTTACTCATAATGTTGGCTAATCGCCGGAATATTTGTGATTTGATAAAATTTATGTGAAATAAACTTTCAGCTTAAATTTAATATTTACATGATTCTATACCAGCGGAATACAGATACTAGAAACCATAATATAACATGAGTGACCACAATTCAGAATCTGACCATGTTTCATCAACTGTCTTCTAACATTGAACAGAATCTCAGAAATGCATCCCATTTGATTTGAACATCGGTGTTTAGGGTTGGTTTCTGGAATATTCACCCTTCTGTTCTATCTAGGTCTTGTCTTCGAGTACATCTACATCACTACCCTTCATATTCAGTGCAGGGTTGGTTTACAATGGTGTTGTCTGCAAAACATTCTCACAAGATCGACGTTTGTAATGGTAGTTGAAATGATGATATCAGTTAGAGCTCATGGGCCATTGAATAAGGTTCCAGTGGCTTAATGGTATACGAGCTCACCTTGTAACCGACCATCAGGCCCTGGTTTCGGACGTCAGCGGTCACGTACTGATGAAGAGTCCTGAACTAGGACGAAACACTTCTGCCAAGCTCCCGGGTTAGCTATCGGACACCTGAGAGTGGCTTGATCGATCTACTGTGAGGACACAACAGACACACACACATATTTTAGTAATCCAAGGAAATATTTGGGGGGGGAGGCATTACTTTGCAATCAAAGAGGTTCTGTCGACTTCAGATCACATAATTCAAAAGAACTTACCAAAGTGAACTGTCCTTAATGGAATTGTCCAAAACAAGTGTCAAACTGTGCATACATTTTCTCAATAGTGAATATCTCTCACACATACAGATAAGCAGTTAGTAAACGGCTACAAGCACTCCATTAAAAGATTGACATCAGATACAATGTGATGTATAGGTCCTAATTAATTGCTTTCATCATATTTTAGCGTCATCTTTCTGTAATTATTATAATTTAATAATCTAATAATTGACATTTTCATTTCATTTCACGTTCTCTCTCTTTCCTATCACAGCAACTCTCAGTCAAATTCAACTGGAAACTTCCTCGAAAAGTAGATTCAATGATGCAGACAAGATTAAAATCAAAGGTACTTCAGCTCACTATACAAGCGTTAATTTCGATGAATACTTTATCTCTTATTATTATATGTGTACAACTTGGGCACTGTGATAGTATTTTTTAACCTTCACATTCCCCAGTGGAACACAGAGCTTCAAGCTAGTGGCTTGAAGTTTATGTATCAGTGTTTATTTTACAGGATGGGGTTGCCAGCCTTATACCCAACCTTTCCTCTTTATCAGCTTGTTATTTCTGACTCAGTGAGGTAAAGGAGTAAGCCGGTCGAGGATCGAACCCCGGAACATGTGCATGGTCGGCGAGCGTCCTAACCGCAATAACATCGACGCACTGTGATAGTAAGTAATTCCATATTAGTATGTTTATTAGATGGATATACCACACAGTCACTGAAACAGTATTATTTACTGGATGACGTTTCGAACAAAATTTATTACCGTTCATAATCATATCAGTTGTAATCACACGACTTTGAAACTTGAGTTTTGTAGTTTTCTTTGTTTTCTCCTATTTGTAGTAGGAGTAGTAGAATTTTCCAGATATCTGGGTGGACAGGTGTTGAATCATTCCTATTACACGTAATCTCTTCAGTTCATTCGATAAACAAAGCCTCTGTTACCAATCTCTCCCTCAACCCTGTGACATTGGATTTTAAAACTGTCATTCCTATCCCATTATCCTATTTGAATGGTTGTATGTTGTTGCATGTAGTGAGTGGTACAGTCGAACCATTCTCTAGATTTCTTATCTTATTCAAGTCAACTTATCTGGATTTTGCTAGATTTTTGTGTTCCACTAGTCTGGCTGACCTGTGTATTTGACCTGACAATCATTCAAGCAGGGTAATAGATAAACTAAATTGTTATCTTTCAAAGGCTCCACAGGATTGATACTTTAACCTACAAAGCTTGTTTCTAATTGAGTTTGTGGGCAGTTTGAATGCCAGCCACTTTTATTCCTGCCTTGTTAAGAATTCCGAGTAAGGTTTTCGAGGTTCCTTCCTGATTGTACAACAAATAAGCAGGAAGAAATGGAGGTGGATTGAGGTCATACTCTGAGAAAACAAACCATCAAGTGACATAACACATCAGGCCATCGCTCGAGTAGAACCCGAACGGAAAGCAGCGAGTTGGTCGTCAGTGTGAGGGTGACAAGGAGGAGGTGATGTGAAGAGGAGATGAAAGCATGTGGGCAGACGTGGAGCCAGGTGATGGAAACATTGGCGTAGAGCGAACGCAATGGAGACGTTCATCTAAAAACTAAACGAAACAATAATGATAATAATCCCCCCTTCGAGATAATTTGCTTTCACTAATGTCTAGTGTTTCACAAATATTCCTACTCCTTAGTTGTAGCATTAATCTGTTTAGTTAATTATCACCCTTCCCCAGCCTTTAACATCATTGACGTTGATTAATTATTATTTTTGTTAACAAACTGGAAAACTCTTCACTGTATTAATATCACCTTAAATATTAAAGTAGAGTCAATGACAAGGATTATTTGAGAAGTAAATATTTCTTTATTTGCAAATCTCCTATTGTCTTTCTTGAAATCAATGAGGAGATGAAAGGTGGAACATCACTGAATTTCTCACCGACATCTTTGAGCATTGTTCAACTCATAACTCTTGCTGACTAATTCCTTTTCAGATATAGTTTCAATCAAACTTAGCATGTCTGTTGAAAGGATGAATACAAGTGATTCGGATATTATTAATGATGACATCCCATCACCATCAAAATTCAACTCATTTCGTACACAGGTAAGTCCGTTAAACTGAATGTTGGAAAGCATATTGTATATTTGTTGATTTATTTATTTACCTCTGCAAGTAATGGGCTTCAGAGGATATTCCTAAATAGCTCCAGAATCAAATAGAATCTTCAGAACCCATCAATGATGAGAACAGGAGATCTAGCTCCTCTATTGCGAAACATATGATAGAGAAAAGACATCAAGTTGATATTAACAGATCTTTTAAACCTATCCATCTATAAAACGTGTTTGGGGGAGGGCGTATCCTTAATTGTGTGGAAGCCCTATCTGTCAATTAGAAAGTTTGAATCACCTTTATGTGTTCAAAGCAACAATTCGTCATCACATCAAACCATTTTTCTTGGTAAATTTTCTTTTGATGCCAAAGCAGATGTACTATTGTAACAACAGAAAGCAAGGGCCAGGCAGATTTTCATGTACATTATTATAGATTATTGCTAGCAGAAAACACAGTCTTCTGATTGGTTATTTCTCACAGAAAGTTAACCTTGCATCCCTTCGTGGCTGTTTCTTGAATGTTAGATAATTTATATGCTAAGTGCATCCGCCTACGCAAACAAAGTCTACTGTGATTGTTTGTTGAATCAGTCTTTGTTCTTATTTTTCTCATGACCAATATTGGGGACGTGAATATCGACGTAAATTAATGTCTACCAATTTTTGGCTAGCAGCCAGCTCTCAGCACACCTGTAGTTCACAGGATATAAGTTCCATTAAGGGGTTGGGGTGAGTTACATTCATTGGTATGAGAGAACTGTGATTACCACAAAATACATAGAAAGAAATACCAACAAATGGAGAAGACTGAATGTAAGTTCAAGCGAGGGTTCACAAGTAACAAGTGTAATCATGAAGTGAAAAGGTTAGATTGTGAACTGTGATGAACTACTACAGACACGATAAGCTTTGGTGTAAATTACAAAGGTTGACACATATAAGAAGGATGGTAATAATGGAATGAAGTATAGTAGGTGAAAAGGAATAAGAAAGGTGTAATCTGACATGAAAATATGAGATGATTATATCCCTGACGACCTTCTAGTAGTTCAGGGCAAATCAAGGGATGAATGTGCTGTTTTTGGACACATAGGTTACTAATATCAATAACTTATTTATTTGTTTATTTAAACGCATAAAAACTTGGTACAATATGGCACCAAGAAGGATGTGCCACACAATAATAATAAAAAATCATAGATCAAAAGAAAAAAAGAAAGAGAAAAATAACAATAAAAAAGAACGGATAAAGAACTTTATCTGGAAGGAAAACGGTCAAACTTAACAAGTTCAAACAGTATTCGTTAATTATCATCGGGAAGGGAAGAAAAGAAGGAAATTGCAACACGTGTAATAGCACACGATAAGTTTCATTGATTGTTTGTTGCTTCATTCAATTCATTGTGTGAGGGCTGAGATACTGCCCGGGCGCCAAGACCGAAGCAGATGGTTTTATTAAGGGACCACCCCCCGAGCCTTTGACTTGGAGTCTAATCCACAAGGCAGAGGAGCAGCGTCAGGAGCTGCATTCCCATGGTTGCTGGTGACCCATTTGTGTTCATATGCCATTTGATCCGATTGGATACTAAAGCCCATGTACCCCATGGTAACTACTTTTACTTTAACCGCTATTCAAACAACCTTCCTGACATGCTAGGACCTGCAGGGACAGGTCCCAGTCAGTTTAGCATGTTGGGTCATTACGGTATTCAAGCCCAACCACCACTACAAGGTAGCAGTTATCCGCCGGGAATATCAATAACTAAAGCTTCGCTTTATTCCAAAGCAGTAATTATGATACAGTATAGAATTCTCAGCATTTTCTACATCACTCACAACATTTAATGAAACATTTGAGAAATAATGAGATTGGATGGAGGATTTCTTCATGAGCTGACATCAGTTACAGAACCAGCTTGTAGAACTGGACAGTTGTTTCTTCCTGGCTCGGGACTTTTCATCAGTACGAACCCACTGACAGGGTTCCAACCCACGACCTTCTCGTTACAAGGTGAGCTCGTAGACCAATACTTGAAAATTAATTGGATGCTCACTAGTGACTGGCCCTATTCAGGCAGTCACCTGGGGTTCTAGTGGGAAGCTCTGACCAGCAGGGTACAGTAGGTTGAAAATGAGGCAGTAACTCATCAAAGAAGGCAGTGTGAAGTGGTCTCGCTATGTGTCATGAATTGGCAGAAGTTAGAATTCATGGATGATTGGATTGGCGGATCCCAGTCGCTTAATGGTCTACGAGTTAGCTTGCCTTGTAACCAGAAGGTCCTGGGTTCGGACGCCGACGAGTACGTACTGATAAAGAGTTCTAAACTAGGTTGGCGAAACAGCTGTCCAGTACTCCCTGGCAGGTTTTCAAATGGTTCTCTAACTGATGTCAGCTCCTGGTGAAGTCTTCCATCCAGTCAAACAAAATCCCTACAACAAAAACAATACTTGAAATAATGAGATTGTCTCTCCTAAGGATGTAATTCGCAAAGTGAGTTGTAGGTTCCCCTCTAATCGCTTTGTTACCCATGGAAATGGGAGGTGAATGCAAATGGATTACTGGGAAAAGTAACTGATAATTTCATAGGCCTATAGACTTTCACTGTGTACTGAAATGCTTCTTTATTCTTACTCTGTAACTAAAAACACTCACTACAAAATTATCATTGTGCATTGTGACATCTTTTGTTTTTACAGATATTGAATGCCTTAAAACATGTGGAGCCCATATTGAAATCAGTTCATGTATCATGTGATATCCTTATGCCAAAAGCATTCAAAACTCCAAAACCTATTAGTAGTATTCAAGTCTTAATGATGCTGTCAAGTAAGGAGATGAGAAAGGCATTCAATTCTGCTGAATGGTTCAGTATGCTTAAAAATACACTGTTATCTGCTAATGTAATCGGAGTCAATGACACAAGATCATATCGTAAGTGTATATAACTATTTCTAACCTCCATCATGATTATATAAGATAGAATTATTAAAATGAGAAATTTTCATTTTGCTTACAGTTATGATGCATCACTCATCATATTCCATTAAATTCCACTAATACAGAGAAACAGTTGACGTCTCTCTCTCTCTCTCTCTCTCTCTCTCTCTCTCTGAGAAACTGACAAGATTCTCTCAGATGACAAGTATTTGTTAGTGGTATAGGATTTTTGGACTCTCACCGATCATGCACATGACCTGGGTGGGGTTCAATCCCCTGCCAACGCACGCCTGATATCAATGGGTGGCCTGCAAAATTTGGGCTACTAATATCACAGGCTGAAAATTGCCTACTTGTACCAAAAATACGGTGTGAAATCAAGCTATAATGCAAAAATAAATCAATAAGTAAGTGAAATTATAGTCCAACGAAGAGTTACTCATCTTTAGCCAAAATCATTCACAAGTTTTACGACCCTATGTAGAAATAATAACTTGTCTCATGACTAGTTATCATGAACAAAGCGGATTACTTTGAGAAGAGAATACTATTCTTAATGATAATTTAAACTTCCAAAAAATCCTACTCTTCTCTGGATCCGATTGAAAAGATGCAGAAACAGTTAGCAGAAACATTGAGAAGACCGAAACAACAAGGCTTCATCTCACAGAGTTGGTACACATCACTTAAACCCACTGGAACGTTCACACCAAGATTATATAGCTCGCCTAAAGTGCACAAAGATGGTGTACCGCTTCGATCAGTGTTAGATATGTTAAATTCACCATACCATCCCGTAGCCAAATGGTTAATCGAGCTCTTACAGCCGCTTCATACCGAGTTGGTGAAACACAGTGTAGAGGGTACTTTTAGATTTGTTGATAAGATAAAAGATTTAAATGTTGACAGTAAATTCATGATATCATTTGATGGATCTTCCTTATTCACCAATGTACCACTTATGGAAAAAGTGGACTTTGTACGCGAAGAACTCATAAGATGAAGCATCAATATTGGTATTCCTTTATCTTTTATGAAAGAGCTTCTCTTGAAATGCACAGTGAATGTCCACTTTTTACATAATAAGCAACTATATAGACAAACTGACGGTGTGGCAATGGGGTCACCACCAGAACCCATTCTAACCGAAATTTTCCTTGAGAAACTAGAAAATGGGCCTTTGAAGGATGTTATTAATGAAGTCGAATTCTATTGTCGGTACATGGATGACACATTTTTGATTGTGAAAAATGAGGGGGAAGCAAAGGACATCCTGGATAAATTTAACGGAGGTCATCCTGCAATAAATTTTACTATTAAGAAAGAAAAAGACTGTAGTATTTCATTTCTAGACGTCCTTATGACCAGAAAAGAGGATGGTGCAATAAGAATTGACTGTCAGTATACTCCTTTTTTCAGCTTCGTGCCCTTGAAATACAAACGCAATCTGATAAAGTGCTTGGTTCACAGAGGAAGAGCAATTTGCTCGGATGAATGTCATGATGAGGAACTTAGTAATATCAAACGGTTGCTTAGTGAAAATGGTTATCTAGAAAAGTTTATTGATAAGAATATGAATCTAAAATCAAGGCAAGCCAAGGTACCAGCAGTTCCTTGGGGACAACACCAGCGAGATAATAACACAGTGAATTAGAATTCCCGTAAAAAGTGCATTCACTGCTGCTGAATTGTGTTGTATCTTTATAACCACTCCTCTTCTGCGTTCGGGAGTAAAACAAAAACTGCCTAATTTCGCCTCTTCCATGTGTATCTTCCAATTTAACTGCTCATGTGAAGTGAGCCAGTTACTTAGGCCGTAGAATTAGGTGTGTTTCTCGTCGAATTTCCGAACACCACCCTGCGTAGTTACGCAAAGGACAAACAAAATCTATTGGCAGCGCTATTCTGTCTCCTCTTGTGTATACAGAACACAAGATTTACGTTAAGCCATGCTTTCAGCGTCATTTACCGCATACCTACGAATCTCAATTTCGCCTTAAGTGTTCGACTACTAAATATTGCTGAGACTGGCTGTTAGGATCCATATCAAGAAGCTTAATTTGTGCATCCAAAAGAAGACAGTTCAGGCATTATCATTACCCGCTTGGCCATCCAGGTTTGAATTGTCTTGAATTTTTGTGAAATTTCCCTAATTTTAGATGATATTCCATTCACTATTATATCTTTATTACTATTATTATTTAAGCATCTTTAATGAACTGTGGTAATTCCACGGTGATCTCACTTTACAAATAGATATTATTTAAAAACCCCTAATATTGTTATTGACTACTAATCTAGAATATTCTATGTATATAAGCATACATATCTAATTGTACAGCCAGAAGAGAATTTATCGAAAAGGATATTCTTTACTGGCTCAATTATTATGTATTTAGTAGGGATGTTTCCAAAAATGTGTCATTCAAAGTTATCTTGATATATCGAAACAAAATTCACTAAATAAAATGGGTGATTGATGTAACCATATTTAAAAAAAGGAGTGAGTGAGTGAGTGAAGTTCAAGTAAATTTGAATGCAGTCCAAGTGAAGGTCATTGTCATAAAAAGTAGAAGCTTAATAGTTAGTAGGAAGGGTAAGGAGAAGAAAACTCAATTAAATTAATGATTTAGATATAATAGAGAAGATTTGTAGCTCAGGTGGATGATTTTGAGGTAGTTGTGTTCTCTGAACTGGATGGTTAATTTGCGAAGCTTTCATCACCCTACTGGATGACATCTTCAGCGCATACTTCAATTTGAATTGAAGTATGAATTGAAGCTCACCTCAAATTGAAGCATGCGCTGAAGATGTCACCCAGTAGGGTGATGAAAGCTTCGCAAATTAACCATTCAGCTCAGAGAACACAACTACCTCAAAATTAACGATTACATGTCAAATGTTAAGATAAATCAAGTCACATGTGTAAGTTCAATGAATGAACTAGCTTCCTGTATATGTTTTGAATGAAGGTTTTAATGTATAAATTGTCTTATCTAGTGTATTTCCGAGAAATTTGATTCGTACACCTTCGATAAGATTTCGATACATTCTGTAGGTGTGTGTGTGGATGTGAAGTTAATTTACCCGTCCACTTGATGCCCTAAATCGATTAGATATTCTAGAATACATCTGTGTAGCAACATTTTCCTCCCTCGTATTATATTAACAAACACTTACATAGACTGTGCATGTAAGTTTCGGTGTATGTAGTCAGTTCTTATGCATTTCCTCATAGTACGCAAATGAGCTAGAGAATCTCAGAATGCAGGTTTCCACTGATACCAATTTCATCCGAGTTGCAAACTCTCCCAGTATGCATAAATAACAAACAAACGCTCTGTGCCGTGAATCGGCAGAAGTTAAAATCCAAGGTACATTGGATCGGGTCCCAGTGGCTTAATGGTATACGAGCTCGCCTTGTAACCGGAAGGTCCTAGGTGCAAATCTCGGTGGGTGCGTAATGCTGAAGTGTCCCAAACTAGGATGAAACATCTGTCGAGTACTCCCAGCTGGTTTTCCAATGGTTCGTTAACTAATGTCAGCTCATGATGAAATCCTGAAACCTTTCTTAAAATGGAAATTAAAACGTTCAGGTTACAAAACATGTTCACTATTTAAAACAATTCGTCCCTTTGTGAATATAGATAAAGAGATAAGAAGGCGTAATTTGTCTGAAACGTCTGTGTAATGTTGTATTTGCGAAAAACATTTCGAACAATCTGATCACACACGGTCCTATCATAGGAATGTGTATATATGAAATCAATAAAGAGTTAAAACGGGAGAAAATAGACTGATTAGCTCAAGTTGAAATGACATATTGAAGGTCAAAATAACAATGAAGACCACTAAACCAAATACCAGAGATAGTAGTACATCTACCCTGTTTGATATCAAAACAAAGTTTACCAAGAAAAATGGTTTGATGTGATGACGAATTGTTCCTTTGAACGCATAAACGTGGTTCAAACTTTCTAATTGCCAGATAGGGCTTCCACACAATTAAGGATACGCCCTCCCCCAAACACGTTTTATAGATGGATAGGTTTAAAAGATCTGTTAATATCAGTTTTATGTCCTTTCTCTATCATATGTTTCGTAATAGAAGAGCTAGATCTCCTGTTCTCATCATTGATGGGTTCTGAAGATTCTATTTGATTCTGGAGCCATTTAGGAATATGTTCTGAGGCCAGACTTTATTTGCAGATATCGATGAGTCTTCCCGATACACGTGTGACCACATGCACATTCAAATCAATGAATACAATGGGAGGTGACATTATTTTTCGCATGTTCGAAGGGCTTAGATAGATATATTGACTTCACATTCTCAATTATTATGATATTAGCTGCATAAAAGGTCCTTTTAACAGCAGCGTTCAGTCTTTGTCTAGTTATCAAGTTGCTATGATGCCTCATATAGGGTAGCTTGATGTATGCACCTTTCTTAGGGGAGAATTGGAGAGTGAGTCATGGTGTTCTAACTACATCATATCTCCTGATGAACTTGCCTGGATCATTGTTATCAACCAGAGTTTGTGTTAACTTTCTTTCTTCTTCATCAAGTGTATCTGTCTTCAGTGCATTTTCGTTGGATTTCACTGAAGATGTACCTTACTACGGCTCGTTTGTACCGAACAGGGCAGAAACTGTGGTATTAAGATACTGTCCTGTCCTGTCCAGGTAGGTTTTCTATAAAAAGATCTTTTTATTGACCCATCAAGCCACTGACTAAGCAATATGTCTAGGAAAGATAAAGAATTATCTTCCTCGTCTACAGATGTAAGTGATATGGTATTCTGAACTTCATTCATTCGATTTAAAATTAACGTAGCAGAACAAGACTTATCACAGATGATTACAATATCATCCACATACCTTCTATAAAGTGGCACATTTTCGATTAAATCCTCCGATAAATTTTCAATGTCCGACATATAAATATCTGCTAAAAGGGGAACCTAACGGACTTCCCATAGCAACACCATCAA